ATCATAGTTTAAACTTTAATTGAAGAAAAGAGATATTACACCTTTCCAAAAATACGGATGGGCATGTTTTAAGAAGGATTGAAATCGGTTGAGTTCAATCCATCAATAATTGCCAGTTTGGTCTGATTCAATCAAGTATAAATAATTTATGTTACTCTAGTACATTAGATAAGGTGTAAATTGTCTCTCTTTTATCTTTTTATATGTTTAATAATTGAAGAGCTTATTCAAAAAAAGTAAATTGATCATCCACTGTTAAAGTCATACAGTCATACATGATATAGTCATAAATGTATCATGTACAGTATGTAAGAAAAATGTTTGCCGTGCTCAAATTTGCTTATTTTAAGTTATTTACCTCTAAAATGCTCCACTTAAATCTTTTTCATTAATTATCAAATTGCTTTTTAAGGTAATTGAAAAAATACAGTATGTGTAAAAGCATGAGAGTTGACACACATTCTACAATTTCCCGGCAAGCAGGAGCAGGCCCTTTATATATGGGCCTACATGTACATAGGCCTACATGTAGTATGGCACTGTGATACCTGTGTGCACTTAAAGTTTGAACTTGATATTTAAAGTTCAATGTTTGTGCAACACAACCCATTTGCCCAGCTGTGACCACAAATTTATGGTATAGATTTTGGAGTTTGCAGGTTTGATAATTAATCAATCTTGTTAAAACTGAAACAAATTTTGTTGCACCATAATATATAGATCCTTCATAAGAATGCACCATAATAGATCCTACAGCATGACTACATCATATACTTGGCATTTTTTATTATTCTGAATACTGTAACATTAATATTGAATAGTTGTATGACTAATATATTTTAAAATATTGGTATTTGATTCAAGTAATTACTGGTGAATAATATATTTAAGAATAAGTTTTAAGTTTGTCAGCAGTTTTGTTGCACCCACAAACTGTGTTGAATTTTCATGGGTGTAGTTGACATAGTCATTTTAATTAAACAGGGAATATAGAGAAATACATTCAAAGAGAAGTGGAATCATGAGTAATTGTCACACAGAAGTCGATTTTGCAATTAGAACTGCTCAATATTATGTTATATTCATATTGTATATTTTGCATGTATACCTACATTTATGATAGACTTAATTAACTTTCATATTTCTAAATATCACTGCAAAGTTTCAACTGCAGGTAGTTTCTCAAACCAAAAAAAAGCAATGAGTGATTATATCCTGTTGTTTATTGCAGCTTCATAAAAGAAAGCAAACCGAGCTCAGTATAGGAAGAAGTGGACTGCGTCAGCTCGTAGTTTAAAACGTACTGGTGCTCCTATTCCAGTTGAAGTTGATGATACTGAATTATTTGAACTACCTTTTGATTCAGCACCCCCGAACCATGACACTGGAACTGTGTCAGATGATCATGACCTCCAGCCTGTTAAACGTATCTGCACCTCTGTTGAGGAAAATCACTTAAGCAATCATGATAGGTTAAATTTGGATGAGACTTGGCATGATAACTCTATTTCTTCATCAGATTCTGAGAATGATAATTTGTTAGATGATTCGCTTGCTGAAGGCTTAACCAATTGGGCTAATAGGAACGCGTTCCAAATTATTTTCAACAATTCCAAACTACCAAATCCATAAAAAAAATCCTTCATTTTGCAGAATTTGACTAATTTTTCTGCACAGTTTAACCCATAATACAAAATAGGTATAATTTTCCTTTAATTTCAGAAGAAAAAGCGGTTTTTGAGGTAAATTTGAAAAAATTTTTTCTTGCAATTTTGCAGAATGGAAAATTCACTGTTTAATTTAGTAGTAGTTTAGTAGATTTTTGCAAACTGTATATATTTCCAACTTTAAATCAATGAATATATGAAAATTTAGAGAAAAGATTAATTTTCCCTTTTCTAAACTATATTTTCTCAAAACGGAAAACTATGTTTAAAAGAACAGCAAAAATAAAATGGTTAAATTATTACAAAAAACAACTGAATTTCAGATACCCATTTACTTGCATACACATACTTGCACAGGCGCAATTATAAAAAAATTGGAAAAATGATTACAAAATGTGACTCCGAATTTCGGACACCCATTTTGTCCTCAATAAAGTAAATAATCATGGCAAAATGATGCCAAAAATGGACTCCGAATTTCAGACACCCAATTTGCTAATGCAATGGGACATTTATAACAAAATGGCAGAATGATTATCAAAATGGACTCCGAATTTCGGACACTCATTTTGTTTGCAATAAAGTAAATAATTATGAAAAATAGCAAAATGATGACAAAAATGGACTCCGAATTTCAGACACCCAATTTGCTAATGCAATGGGACATTTATAACAAAATGGCAGAATGATTATCGAAATGGACTCCGAATTTCGGACACCCATTTTGTTTGCAATAAAGTAAATAGTTATGAAAAAATGGCAAAATGATGACAAAAATGGACTCCGAATTTCAGACACACATTTTGTTTACAATAAGGCAATTGTATGAAAAGGGCAGAATGGTTGCCAAAATGGACTCCGAATTTTGGACACCTATTTGTTTGCAACAAAGTAAATAATTATAACAAAAAGGCAACATGATTAATACAAAAAGGAACCCTAAATTTCAGGCATTTACATCTTGTTCCAAATGGAATCATATAGTAATAGGAAATTGATTAGTAATAGGAGAGTCAACAAATCTTAAACAACTATTTTATATTGGAATAATTATTAAAAAAAAGACTACCTAAAAACCTCAACAATTTGCAGAAGTGTGTTTCCATAAAGCAGCGCCATAGTAAATTGTTATATATTTATTGTATAATATTTGACAAATTCAGTAGTGCACAATGTATTAAAACTTACATCACATGCATTCAGTACACCACTTGCTCTTTTGCTCCACAGTCCACGCACATAAAGAATAAAATCCCTGCCTACCTAAACTACAACACACTGATATTACATGATAAACACACAACAGACAGGGTCGGATTGAAACAAATTTATAGTAAAAATTGCAACTAAATATATCCACATCAGTTCATCAGATCTAATATATTTAGATCAGATCTAATATATTCAGAGATCCAGGCCACAAAATAAATATGTGTTTGAATTGTGTTTTGTGTATTTTAAAAACATGTATGGCGAAGAAGGCAAACAAAGTTTTACAAATAAAGGTTTTTTTTAAAATATTACTGAATGTTTCTTTGGTTTCGCCAACTCGAAGCTTAGAAGGTTGTCCTATACTGAAATTATCAAGATCTGATAGGTGAATCAGTACAGCCATATGCATCAAATACCGGTAAGTGAGCACGAGTCTTCTGCATATAAAATAACATTTATTGATTTATAAGATCATAGGGCAGCCCAAAAAAGCGTGTTGATGACAATAAATAAACCGAGTAAATACTGTATACGCAAGTGTTGCAACACTATATTTTGTTTAGGTTATAAATCGAGTCATGGCAATATCTAATGCTCATTGATACACAGTAACAATACTCCTTATGCATTAGGACATCAAATGCTTCATAAATACCAGAATTTCCTGCAAGAATTATAATAACACATATTGCAATTCTCTCAGGGAATGCTGCTCTTAGTGTTCATACAGAAATAATTGACATCCTATTAAGTCCATATAGGTCTATTAGTTTTTGAAGCCTGAAGGCAAGGTGTTTACAAGCCCATATCCACTGAGCAGAAGGCAAAGTAGATATGAGCTGTGGCGACTAGTGTAAATTCTGTATTGAGAATGGTTAAATATACAAATGTTTCTCACAAATACATTTTGGTACTTCATAAGGTTCTCATATAAAAAATATTGGTGCACAGTATAGTTCCTTTTCCCTCTAATGGTTAGGCTTTTTTTTTGTGATCTCTGTACCATTTTTTAATAAATTTTCTGGTGTTTTCCAGCAAATGATTTTTGTCATCAAGTTCGAACGCACATATTATAATAGCCGCTTTGGGAATGGTATCCACCCATGGTGTTGGCCCATCTTTACTATTCACAATGTGGGGTTCCCAAGCAGTGCTATAACTTCCCTTCCAGTATTGTAAACCCAATGACTGGCCTTTTTTTGTAGTTGGATATATTTACTGCAACAAACACATCAGGTTTCAAAGCAGCTAAGTAATTATCATCCATATTTATGCCCCGGGAAGCTGGAGCTTGATATGAGCCAGTATATATCTAGGAAAATAAATGTAAAATATAGAATAATTTGTATATTTGCTATGCCAACTGCATAAGATTAGGGTTCCATTGATCAGCATGCTTATACTAAAGGAGTTGCCATTTCAGTGCTAAAACTTTTTATGTTGTTATAAAAGCTTATTAGTTAATGCTTCACAAATGTATCAATCCAATCCCATTAAAATATTTTTGTTTACCTCTTCTAGTTGTTCTAGCTCCTTCTCTCTCAAAGCAGATAGCTGTGCTGGTATTTCAGCTGTCTCAACAGGTTCAGCATTTGGTCTTCTAACATGATTTTTCAGTGAAAATATTGGAAACGTATTATCAATTGTAGCATCATTGTTGCCTGTTGTCTGAAAAAATGATTCCCACCATTCTTGTGCTGTTGAGGGCAATACAGAAAACCATTTTTGCATGTCAACTGCAAGCTTAGGTAAGTCTGCCTTTGCAAAATCTGCTGGTATTTGGACTGGCAGGTCCATAGGAGTTGACTATTTATAAAATGAAATAAAACAATAACTTATAGTGCCTTGAAGCAATTTTGAGTACTTTGTGATAGTTGTGGTACTTTGGGAGAAATTTTAGAATACTGGTACCTTTAATAAAGAAATAGGACCCATCCATTCATCATCACTCCACTTTCTGTAATACATTACGGCTTTGTTTTTTTCATTTCTCACAAATTTAAAGCAGTGTGGCTTGACATGATTGTGTAAGTCCTCACTGTGACCATCCAACCACTTCTTGATATCATAAATGCATGATAAACACTCAGATTCTGGGTATGGCTTGTTACAGCATTCTTTAAATGCTTTTCTTATATCTAAAAAAAAGAAAAAGAAAATATTCAGAAAAAAACAATTAATGGCTTATTAATATTTATCTGTTGGCTGATTGCTTCTTTTATTGGTGCAAAAAATCAATGTATGCACTGTAAGCTGATGATTCACAAACAAAAAGCAAGCACATGCAAAAGCCCGAATTCAATAGTTTTTTAATTTAACCATGATAACATTCACTAAATGTCAGATACTATGACAAAAAGTTGAACTTTGAAACAATGCTTAAAAACAATGATCTTAAATTACTCAAATATAAAAGAATTTTTTACATTGTAAACGGCAATTTTGGTAATCAATCAATTTTGGTAATCAGCTTATCTCTGTTATTTTGTCACACTGTATGTCAGCAGAATAGAACAAAATCTAATTGTATGGTAATCGTTTGTGTACAGTATCAGACAGAGGGTGCATGGTCAAATCCATGTTGAACATATACAGTGTATATGCCTTTCTATTTTAACATGTGAACAATATATATACTACACCAAGGATTTACTATGTCAGATGATTTTATGTAAGTACTTGTCTGTTAAGACTTACCATTTACTGTATATACATCAAGAAATTTAAGATGCTTTGAAAAACAGCCAAATAATGCATCAATGTCTTCATGCGTATGGCCAACTGGTAGAAAGTTGCCCTTTATCTGAAAAATTAAAGGTTACATGCAATATTACTTTAACTTGTATATATACTGTATGAAACATAATTGAGATTCCTGTTGTGAAAAATTACTCCTTTGAAAAACTTGTACATTATTAGTACAAGTACAAAAAAGCACACATGATCTAATTGATCATTAGCTCAAGCTATTTTCTAAGCTTCACATACATTTTTAGCTGCAATAATAAAGATATTGTTATTTTGAACCCACTAGACTATCAATCACTCATTACAGCACCAGGCAAAACTTCAAAAAACATATAGATGGGCCCACACAGTAAACCCTTTGTGGCTGTGACTAAATTGTCTGGCTTTGTTTTAAAGGTATCTCATATTCGTATTTTAACTATACCTTGTCAAACACCGACCATTCCACCAAAAGAGATAGTAAAGTTAAAACATATTTGTTTTTGTTTTCACGCCAGCAGTTGTCCAGTTGGAGATTAAGTATGTGGTAAACCATAGCGATCATTGAACAGTGCAAGAAGTTTGATGAGAATGTTCATTGTTAGATTGCTGTCATGTTTCCATTGAAAAAGGTCAAACATACCATGGAATAATTTTCCCATGGGACACAACCCACTATGCATTATAGTTCCAACAAGATGTGTTGCAGGTTTGCAGTTGATTTGCAGACTCTTCGAAGATTTGGTACATCAGTTTTGGATTGATCCATACCATCCAATATGATTGTTAGATACTTTGAAGGACTCCGCCGTGCTTTGTACCGATGAAGATGATATTTTCTTCGTTCATTCCTGGTAAGAATTATTATTGAATTGTTTATACAGGATATATACTGGCTATCAACAGAGAGGTTAAGAATGCCCTGTTACCTAATACCACAGTATAATCACGCAGGTGCTGGACAAAAACCCAAAACGCAGGCAAAATAATTAGTAGACAAACAAATAATATTTGTAGAAATTTTACTCTCATTATTCTGTTTACTTACATAACACGTTCAATGTGTTCATCCAGAAGTTCTTGAATGGCCTTTCTTTTAGCTTTATTCATTGTTGCCTCTAGTTGCTTTTTATAATTTGTGCAGTGGTCACATTTGGTAAACCGGTTTTCCTGCAATAAAACAATATTTGGTATATTTATTACCACCAACTGACATGTCTAATACCAATTTGAAAATTTTGCCAAATGAAAATTTATTTTCCAAATGAAAATTTTTTGCCAAATGAAAATCTTATTGAAAAAATACATATTTTGCTAGTGGGGTGGGGATACAGAAGCTTTAAGGTTAGCTCACATGTTGAACATGTTTTATGGTTGGTAAGTTTACGTAAAACTTTGCAATGTCCAGTATACTCACACATAGCCTGCTATCAGGCGCGGTTTCATGGTTTTAGTGGTGAAAATTACAATGCCCATTTAAAATCTGTATATTATGACCCTAATGTAATTGTTACCTTTGGTATTGAGACATGTTTAAATTCTTTCTCCATGATGCTATAAAATTGTGACCTACTGATGGTATCTTCAGAATCCAGGTCACTTAACATTTTCTGGTACAAAGCCAATTTTGTAAAGCAGGATGGTAAATGAACTTTTCCACTATCTGGTTGTTGGTCACCAATTGAGTTAACCAGAAATCTCAGCCATGCTATACATTCTGCCATCTTTGTTGTGGGCCTTTTCAATCCACTGTTTCCATGGACGTACACTTCTGAACCATTTTTAAAATCAAGATATATCTTCTGGAATCTTTGTAGCTTTATGTCATGGACTTTTATCCAAGCTTGCTTACAGACTTGTGTTCCTTTTATTCTGAACACAGTTGTTTTCCCTTTTTCTGCGTTGTGAGTGGTTGACGTGTTATCTTTTAGATAATTGAGAATATAATTTCTTTCATCGACTATACTTTCAAGTGAGATAAATTCACGTCTAACACTGTCGATATCTTTAAATGGCACAATTTTTAAGCAGTCAAGATCACAGCAGTCAGACTCGATGATTCCAAGACTATTTGCTTGTTTTTCTTGTTTGTTCCTTTATAAGAAGTTTAAGACATTGACAGTTAAATTTGAGAATATTTAAGTCGTAAGTTTAAACTTATTTATTTTTGAGCAAGAATGATCCTTTTTGTATCGCTTTATCGAGCGATTGAAACAACTTATTATCATGCGCGTTCTTTTGATGTATTGATCCATTAAGATGATGTTTGTCACTAGTATTATAATTAATGTTACACAGCTCGCATAGTTTTCCTTTTACACTCGGATGAGTTGAAATTGCTTTTAAAACTTTTGGACAAGCAAAGGGAGTGTTGTGACAGTTAAAGTCCAGTTCCGGCCAGTCTTTCATTTCAACCACAAGCGGTCTATACTTTCCAGTTGCATCTTCAACCTTAATATATTTACCCCGCAATTCCCATACAGTTGCATTCCTGCGGTTGTCAATTTTTTTGTCACTGTTATTACTAGTGAAATTTCTACCTTTTTATTACCACTGTTCTTCCGATTGCCGATGTGTTTGTTACAATTCACGGAAAATTTTATCAAATCGTTTAGGGTAAGCACTGGTTGCGTGGATTTCCAACTATTTTTTGTGGTGTGGTTTTGATTGCCAATTGCACTATTTTCTTTCCACGGCTGTATTGCACATTTTTAAGCATTACTTCTTTGCTGCAGGCAGAATATTTTTTTCTGTTATGATGTGGGTAACTCTGTTTGACAGGAATGTCTCAACGTGTGCTTGGTGATAGTTTAGCAAATTTACGAGCCGGTCGTATTCCGAACAGTTTTTCAGAACATCAACAAAAACTACTTTTCGTTCAAACCAACATTCATTGTCATCAGATACTGAAATATGAATACAGCAATATGCCTTAAAACTGTAGGTGCGCATGCATGCATTTTTGTTTCCAAAGCACGGAATTGCTTTAAATTTAATAGTGAACAAGTAACAACTAAAGTCTAAAATGGTTCTTACCTTCAGAATCACCCTCGTAGTTTAAACTTCGCTTTGTTTTTCGTTGTCCGCTGCTTTCTTGTGCGCATGTAGACGGGGTGTCACAATGGAGCATTCTCCTACGTTTAACAGGCGATTGGGCTAAAATGTAAAATCATTGACACTGTTGATTAAATGCCGCAAATTTATTATAGACTTCGAATCAGGCTATAGCTGAAAGTTTAAGGATGTTTCTCATAATTATTTTATTGTTTTCTTGTTTGTATATGCGCGCGCGACGCTAGTTAAAACTTGGAAGCGCATGTAAGGCCGACGGTCGACAAATTGTATTATTATATACCACTTGTCAAAGTTTGGTGTTCGTAGCATTTCATTGAATAATTTACTGCTATTTATTAATAATTTATTTATTGTGGTATGCTAAAAACACAAGTCACGAGTCTATCGAAAATTGGTTAGTTGCTAATCGATGTCGCATACTCCAAATTTCATATTTCAACTCGCCACAAAAGACAAACGGCAAGTCTTATCATTGCGTCAAGTCTTATTGAAACCTAAGAGACGTAACTTGCCCTTTTTTGCGCCGCACTTTATTTATAATTTCAACTAAAATACAGTTATTATATCTATTATGAAATTTTAGGTATAGTTAAAATTAAAAATAAAATTTAAATATTTTCTTACATTTAGAAGGGCTGTTGTCTGGTGATGGGCTAGCAGGCGATGAGTTTCCTTCGAGTGTTGAGTAGGATCGCAGAGACAGTGGAGAAGTCATAAAAATACGAGGAGTGTTGGCGACTAGCAGAAAATGGAGAACAAAATAAATTATTACAACGCTTGTCCAAATACAGGTGAATATATATTTCTAATCTCAATCTATTTAGACACGTAGAAATGTAACATATCATACCGTTCAGCGGACTTAGTGTGTTTTCGTTGTCACTGCTGCTAAATCCAATTCCAACAGGCGAAGAGTACAGGCTAGATAACTGTGAGTGAACAGGAGTCGTACAATCCCCAGGAGAGCTCGTCACTAAATATCATCATAAAAATTGTGTAGATATAGACTATAGTTCATGTACTATATTCAAGTATACAGATTGCTTATTTGTGATCTCTTACAACTTTGCGGACTCCTCGTGTTCTCATGGTCACTGCTGAATCCAATACCGATAGGCGAACTGCCTTCTATTTCTCTCTCTCGAAGAGTTTCAATAGTGGACGGCGACACCGGTTCTGGCGAGGATGAAAATCCAAACCCGCAAGGCGACGACATAACTATACAATTATGCGTTTTGGTCTTTTACCGCATTCTTCAAAATATTTCTGACAAGCTTAGTTACGAAGTTAGGAAGCAGCCGGTTTTCACTAAGATCAGTTTACACCCTTCTAAGTTTTTAAATGTTTTCCGTTATTATGATTTTTGTCGCTAATTAGTATAAACGTTTTTGATTGGTTGAGTTTTGAACCTTTTAACAATGAAAAATTCCTCAGTTACCTACGGCTTTGTGTTCTCGAACGCTGATTCGTTGAGCCGCGAAGACGCTATCACCTTGTATGACGCTATCACCTTGTATGACGCTATCACCTTGTATGACGCTAGAAAACCTTGCCAAAATATACTCTATTTCCTCTGCCAAAGACACCAGCAGTTTTGTTCAGCAAGGTTTATTCAGCAGTCAACAAACAGTATTTTAAAAAATGCCTTCTTTCAAATGGTCAATTCGAGTAAATGAGGACAAAGCGTACGTGTTTGTCAACGGTATTCGGCATTCCAAAAATAGTGTAGAATATTTGCATGTTCTGCGCGCTGAAGTGGGAAAATTTAAGAATCGCGTGACTGTAAAGGTATGATTTTTAATATTTTGAGTTTCTCACTGTGATTAATATAAAGATAATATTATATATTAAAGGGTATATATTTGGTATTATATACTGTGGTATTGGTCTCTACCTGCTGAAATGAGATGCTGCGTGCACCAGCGACCTTTTGAGTCCTAGTTTTACATGTTTGTTGTAACGAATTAATAACCATATTGGCACTAGTTGTATAAAAATACAGTAAAGCGATTTTTAAAATACTCTTCCCCACTCACTATAGTCCAGCGCCTAACTGCGCTTTCTGGGGTGTCATTGCCTTGAAAAAATCTGATACCTTCAATATCTGATATAGTTTAACTACAAGTAAAATCTCCTACCGAGGTTCACTTAGCTTTCGTTTAGCGTTCACAAGTCATATACCAAAACGCACACCGTAACATAATCGCATGAAATTTAAATTTCATTATGAAGTATACACCATCAAAATTAATATGGCTAAAGCCAAGGTTTAGTAATAATGGACTGTTATAGTTTATAAAACTCCATATTGAGCAGTCTGACTGAAATATAAAGTTTTATAGTTTTACAATGTTTAGCAGATTTCTATCTTGAGGTTGCAAAGTATAAATGATAGAATTCTGACAGTCTATGATAATGCTCGTGCTAGCTTTTCTAAAAAAGGAATGGCGCCTCGGCCCTCAGAAACCACCTATTTTACGACGGGGCGATAATGATTCGAGTTTGAGACTATAAGTGCATTGTAATTGATCAGGGCGTATATAAGATAGGGCCATAGATTAAAAAATGAATGATAGGCGGTGAAACGGCGATTTGGGCCGTGATCTACGTATGATGCGTGGGACCCCCCGAACTGATCTCGCTAATCTCGCTACTCTGACCTCGCGCGACCTCATGTTGTCTGAACAGTCTTATATTATGACAAGGTACGTCATAGCGCGAGGTCAGCGAGATCAGTTCTGGGCCGCCTATGGATAAACAAATATCAATTTCTACATTTAAGCCTTAAAATAACACAAATAGCTTTCAGTTAGTTGGAATTTTACATGCGTAAATTCTACGTCGTGAAAGATTAGTGATTAAAGTTTTAGGAAAATGATTCAGTGTCAAACACAAAGTCAGCTTTTTTAAAATTAATTTAAAACCCTTGGTCCAAGGGTTGGAAACTTAGTCCTAGCATTTGTCTCTGTAAAATTTTTACACAGAAATATTGCTAGTGTGTTATAAACTGGGCACTACACAATGAATGAGCGCGTTATGGATGATAGTTTCACCTATTAGATGCTTCAAATAATGATGCCAGCTATCCGTACATTATATTAATACTGTATTTTGATTGATTCTATGTAAAAATTATTATTTTATTCATATCTTATAGTTGATTTTCGTTCGAGGGGCAGATGGCAAAAGAGAACACTGTTTCTTCTCCACAGGGAAATATGACTGGTCAGCAAGCAATAGGCTTTTCCGTGAAATTGTTGCGACTGAAAATGAGCAACAATGGGCTGCAAAATGCAATGAAGCCATTGAAAAGTTAGAAAAGCAAGATTGCGCTAATGATGGTCAAGATCAACAAAATCAAGGTGGATCCAAGGATTCCGAGCATGTTTCAATCACTAATGAAGATTAAGCTATAAATTTAAAAGGGATCTTCATCTCTTGTGGAACAGCTGAGTACTCCCTAACCAAGAAAAAGTGTCAAGATGAAGAGGCCAAAGAATTACAATACCAAACAAGAGCAAAAGAATGCGAAGTTGGTATGTAGAAATTAAATATATACATATGATATTTTTTGTTGAACACTAAACCACAATGAATGTTAATTAATTTTTTACAGAAATTATCAAGTTTAAATTAAGGCTTAAATTATCAAGTCATTTTCTTAATTAAAATCCCTGCTACACAATTACTTCTTTCAATATGACCAGCTTTTTTTGCCCAATGGTTTCCTTTTTACCATTCTAGCTTACTCAAGTTGTATAAGTGCACCTTCATTTGGCAGTAATATCATGCATGTCTTTTCATAACTTTGAATAGATGAGCAATTCTATGTTCCGGTTGGCAATATTGAACTACCTCCAGCAGACAGAATGATCAGGAAAGTGGATGAAATATTTTTGGCCCAATTAAAGGCAAATATGGAAAGTAACCCCAATGGCTCATATGAACCTCTTTACTTGTTGGTAAAAGGTCTGAACAGAAAGGAGAACTTTTCAAAATCAGATGTCAGCAGCTATCAGTATGAGGTACTTGGTGGTACGCATAACTTGTTGGCAACAAAGCAACTTTTAGAGAAGCACCCTGATAGTGAAGAGTATAAGGGAAGATATGCAAGAATATTTGTTGGGTTAACAAATTTTTAAGCTTTATGGCTGGCGTCAAGGCATAATAAGACTGGGTGTTTCCGTCATTAAATGACATTCAAAGATGAGGCAAGTTCTGTAGAAAGGCAATTCTAATATTGTTAAATATTAAGAGGGAGTGGTTGTTTGTTATAGTTTAACAGTCAGTCAACAAGTTACTTAAGGAACCCATTAGTGTCACAGTAGTAATGAGTACCCAACTTCTTAACTTATTCAACTTTGCTTTGTCAAATACCAGAAATTTTTCTCAAGTACATACCAAAATTGTCAATGGTAAATTATTGGTTATAGTGGTCTGAGTTACTTACGATAATAATTAGCAGTAATCTGCCACAGGCAATTGCAGTAGAAACTAAAATTATTAATTGCAGCAGCAATCATTTGGGTGATTTACCAGTCAGTGGGTTAAAAAAGCTGTGATCACAAACATTTTTTTATTCTGCTGTAGGTGGAAGTTGCTCACAGGCAGTTGGAGATCATTGGTACAAAAAATGAGAACAATGATTTAGTTCCTAGTCAGCAATGGAGAGACAGATGTTCCCACATATTAGGAAAGACAGTGAGTAAACTTTTTAGTTTATTCAATTTGTAATATATTGTGAACACCAGGTGATTTTGCTTGCCAGTGAAAGTCTTGCCACCAGTGAATGGGTTATCAAAAGAAAGCAGATGTAATTATAATCTGTACTAAACCTAAACCTGTTTAATGAAATAATTTTAAATTAACTTGCTGATCAATAAAGCACTTACACTGAGTAATTAATATTCTTGTTAAATGTTGTACTTTTTTTAGAAGAAAAATCTTTCTGATGTATTTCTTGTTGCTGCTCTCCCAGAAGATGGTTATCAGTCATTCCTTGAGATGTGCCGAAAATATGAAAAAGGTCTTCTGAAAGACCAGCGAGCAATGGCAAAGGACCTACAAGAAAGCCGAGGTTCAAGCCATCATACATCAAATGCTTATTTGGCCTCGACGTTTCAGATCGTGTTGCTCTGTTGGGTCAGGTAAAGATATTTCTTCCATTTTTAGGCGTAAGATGCCCCTTAGCTTATTTTTTTGCCTCTGTGATCTGTTAAAAATTTTATTTACTAATTAACCACTTAGTTTATTAAAATATAATTGTGCCCTTTAAATTAAATCCAATCATCATTCTAAATCTGTTGTTTTTTTTAGGTTGCTGACCAAAGTAACAGTCTGGATGAACTGAAATTATGTGCAAGGAGTGCAAAGTACTGAAGCCTGTCCAAAAAGTGATTTCTTCATTTCTTGGATGTAAATGGGAATTGCTTAGTGCAAAATGGGAGAGAAAGTCAGCGTTGACCAGTTAAGGAAATTTACAGTAAGTATACAGTATGTATATGTATTGTATCAGGCAGTTTGATATTTTGATCCAGGTTTGTAGAATGGAAAATATCCGCTCTTCTCTCTATGCTGAGGTTGAGTATTTGAACTGACTTCTAAATTAATAATTCAAACTACTAGAAACATTTCAAACTACTAGTAGCTTGAAAATAAACATTAAATCAGCCCTGCTACATGTTCCTTGGGAGATTTCAATTTTCAATTCTGCTACCTATTTGATGACCATTTTAGTCTGCAAACATTTTCCTGTGTTTCGCACATTCAGTAGAGCTGTGTTTCTATTTACTAGGGAAAAGATGAAACCAACCTTATTTTCAGACAATACTTGGAATATCTGCAAAAGAGTCTGACCATCGAGGAATCAGACCAGCCACTAGTTGTATCACCCAATGTATTTCTGATGGACCAGGGAACAAGGGGCGTTGTCCACATGTGTGTTGACCCACTGGGACTGCAGCAAGGGTCATACGGGCAAGAAAAAGGATTTTCATTAGCCTTATGTAAGCTTTCACCACATCAAGTACAGTATAGTGATGTAACATTGACCTAATGTACCAATAGTACTGTATATGTACAACTGTGATAATTGTGAAAAAGGTGTATACTGAACATACTTTCTTTTTCACAATGATTTTTTTAGGAAAATGATGTGACAACATTTGCTGCAGGTTTGCTGGATAGTGGACCGTTTAAATTTTGGTGTGTGCCACATTTTCAACGTAGCAATAATGGGGGATATCCATCAATTAATGGAAATAAAAAAATGGATCGAGGAACACCGTGGAATCTGCCAACTTGGTTTTGCATGTGTTAAAGGAGTTAAACCAGCAGGTATATATTAGCATATTAACGGGCAATGTAAATAGTAAGATTTTAATGTTCACGTTTACGGCAAAGGGATAACCGTGTCTGTCGTAGAGAATTTATGCCTCAATTTTAATTAGCAAATGCCCGAAGCTCTATCATCTAATAATTGGCCCCAAAATACTATCTTCAATAGTTTGTCGATTGCAGCTAGCCGCATGTCTGGTGTAATTGTCAATCGTAAGGTCCTTAATCACTTTGTTTAATCCACCTTTTGGGTTTCTGCTCACCATAGATTATTTTGTTAAAGCATCCTGGTATTTTCTAGAGGTTCTCGCGATGCAATGTTTTTAGATTTTATTTTTGTAACAAAATTTAGTTGAACTTGTCTGCGTTTGTTATTTCTGCCATTCAACTGTAAAATTAGAAGTTCAAATTCACGTACACTCGAAAATACGTCAAATTTACACGCATAAAAGCATACCTACTGTAAACTGTAACCGTATTTTGCAATGCATACAACAAAATTAACTTACGCATTGTTCCTGCATTTTACAGGTCCTAGCGTTGGTATGGTACGGGCTGTAGAGGGGTTTCTCCTCTACCATGCGGCGCCTGGGCAACGGCTGCTGCAAGATCATTTTAATTTCACTGCCTGCACTGAGAATTTTATTATTGTAAGTCAAGAGCACAAGGAGTTGCAGGTGTGGCATTCTGTAGTTGAAATGTTCAGTAGACCAGGCGATTGGATTCTTGACGTAAATACGCCACAAGGTATGCAATTATACCAGTACTGATGAAATACTAATAATTTTATTATGCACTGTTCACATTGTTGCTGCCGACTAGTTACAATGAATTATCTGGAAACAACTGGTGTAATCGTGTTGTTAATCGTTGATACAAAAAAATAATTTAACTTAACCGCTTTTACTGTGAAGTTTCATTTTACACTGTTCTGATGGGTGGCGGATTCAAAGGACATAGTCAATCATCTAGTCAGTGGTGAAGGTCATTTCTGTTCGTAGTGGTTTATTCAACTATCTCAGCGCTTTGAACTTTATTTAGACAATTTCTTTTGTCTTATTTAAATGTTAATTAGGCTTTTCGTCAAGTTGACCAAAATTTGGAGAAACTTTCTTGTTAATGCAAAATTGAAACCTTTCAATATGGGAGCTAAAATGATAAGGTTGATTAGCTGTGTCCCATTATGCAACTTTACACTATCATTGGATCACTAGCTTTCTTCCTTCAGGTTTATTCACCTATTCGCGCAGCATATTTTAAAAAAGTTTCCCATAAAAAACATAATTAAATATTATGCAGTATAACATTCCAACTAAATTGATCTATTTTTATGACTGTTTCAGTTGCTGGAGCTGCTGCAGCCATGAAGGAAGGCAGGAATGTTTTATGCTTAACACCAAATGAAGAAGAAGCAAGAAACGTATTGCGCAAAATTTTGTGATTTGAAAAACTAATTATATAATTCTATATACATGATTCTTTGCATTTGACTTTAGTATTTTGGTTGTGATGTGAAGGTCTGCAGGTAAACTAAATTTTGGCAGACTCAAGTCGCTTTATGTTCTGGAATTCAGCTGCCCAATTTTTCACTGGTCGGTTTCGCTGCATGCATTGTCGGTTGATAAATAAGATTTTGACAGAATCAAGCCGTTTTTGGTGTCTGCTGTTGAAAACCCATAAAACGTTGATCGCGGACTAAAATTTGGCTCTAAAATCTCATCTCTGCTTAGATGTGTTTCATTTTTGAATTATGCACATATGATTTAAAGAAACAGTCAAACCAATATTTTTCTGAAATTGGGCTACACTCTGAAAAAGTGCTTTTTATTTCAGTACACGATCGGTGACAGTACAAACTGATATTCAGCCTTTAATCTCGATTCATTTAATTGTTTATATCAGATTTGTGACAAACTCACGCCGTTTATGGCGTCTGAAATTTAGCTTCTCAGTTTATCGCTTGTCGGTTAACATAAGATTTTGAATTTTTGGCAGGCTGAAACCATTTTAGGTGTTTGAAATTCAGATACCTTATTCATCTCAGGTCGGTTAAAATATACGATTTTGGCAGACTCAAACCGTTTAGGTGTCTGAAATTCAGATACCTTAATTTATCTGAGGTTGGTTAATATATAAGATTTTGGCAGACTCAAACCGTTTTAGGTGTCTGAAATTCAGATACCTTGTTTATCTCAGGTCGGTTAAAATATGCGATTTTAGCAGACTCAAACCGTTTTAGGTGTCTGAAATTCAGCTTCCAAATTTATCGCTTGTCGGTTAACATTAAAATATTTTGAATTTTGGCAGACTCAAACCGTTTTAGGTGTCTGAATATCAGATACCTTGTTTATCTCAGGTCGGTTAAAATATGCCATTTTGCAGACTCAAACCGTTTTAGGTGTCTGAAATTCAGCTTCCAAATTTATCGCTTGTCGGTTAACATTAAAATATTTTGAATTTTGGCAGACTCAAACCATTTTAGCTGTGTGAAATTTAGACACCCTATTTATCTCAGGTTGGTTAATATACACAATCTTGGCAGATTAGAGCCGTTTTAGATGTCTGAAATTCAGCTTCCCCATTTATCATTTGTCGGTAATATATCAGATTTTGGCAAACTCAGATTTGTTTTAGGTGTCTGAAATTCAGATATCTTATTTATCTCAGGTCGCAGTTGATAGAATGATGTCTCGTTTAGTTCAATACGTTGTTTTTGGCAGAGTCCCTAAAAACTGTCTGCAAAAACGCCAATTTGATTTCATAAATGAAAATCTTTCAATTTTTTGGTTTTTTTCATCAATTTTGCGGAAAAAAAAATAGTTTGGAATTATTGAAAATAGTTTGGAACGCGTTTAGGTTTATGATAAAACATAATGCACTTGATGGTCTTCTTTCTGTGTTGAAAGAGAATGGGCATCCAAACTTGCCTCTTACTGCTCGTGCCTTGCTGCACACATCCAGAAATATAACCATTCAGGAAAAGTCTGGATTGGAATATGTTTATTTTCCTCTTGCTAATCAATTGTTGAAACACTTTAAGAAATATCCTTCAGATGTAATTGCTAGGACTAATTCTCTTGAAATTTCTTTGAATGTTGATGGTCTTCCATTATTAAGAGTTCAAGGAAGTGTTTATGGCCAGTATTATGTGCCATTGTAAATATCACACCTGTAGTTGTTTTCCCAGTGGTTTTAACCTGTGGTAATTCCAAACCAGATGATTTGCATTTTTTGGAAGACCTAATTAGAGATTTGAATAATCTTCTACAGAATGGGCTCCAAGACGGTGAAACTGTTCTTTCAGTTTGTTTAAAATGTGTAGTTTGTGATGCCCCCGCTAGAGCCCTTGTAAAAGGCACAAAGTTGTGTTCTGGCTATTTTGGGTGTGATAAATGTGCACAGAAGGGCATATGGGTTGGTCGTGTTGTGTACTCTCTGATTAGAAATGTTGAGTTGCGGACAGATCTTTCTTTTAGAGAACAAGTGCATGAAGGGCATCATAATGGTGTTATTCCCTTCAGTAAATTGCCAGTTGATATGATTAAGAAATTTCCGATGGACTACATGCATCAATTGTGTCTGGGCGTCATGAAGAAATTGCTTCTGCTATGGTTACGAGGAAAGCGAGAAGTTAAGATATCGGCTGGCCAGGCGGAGTCTATCAGTACTAAATTGATAGAGGTCAAGTCTTCCATACCCAGCACATTTGTACGTAAGCCACAGAGCTTAGCAGAAATTGATCGGTGGAAGGCCACTGAGTTTCGGCAATTTCTTTTGTATACTGGAAAAATTGTTTTATCCGGTATCCTAAGACCAGATTTATATGAGCACTTCTTATCTCTTAGCGTTGCTAGCTGCATTTTGGTGTGCCCTATGTTAGCTAAGTCTTACAGGGAATATGCAAAGCAACTCATAGAATACTTTGTTGAGCAAGGCAAATGTTTGTATGGTGATGAGTTTTGGGTATATAATGTGCATAGTATGGTTCATTTGGCAGATGTGGTTGAAGAGTTT